AGAAATCTCTGGAGGTCGCTTTCAACCTAAATTATTCTATTATTCTAATAAGCATATGATATTACATTTATCTGCACATCAGCATGCTGCTCCCTTTCAGAAAAAAAAAGACTTGACAGGGCTGAACATGCTCAAAGACACAGTCACACTGCGTTAAGCACGTTCCGCCGGGGAAGTGTCAGTCCCTTGTTCTGGCAGACACCACCGAGGGCTGCAGCGCTGGGACTGTCCCACAAACCCTCTCTTGGTGTGGTGGGAGTGATGTGATGTGGTTGCCCGTCGAGGAGGAGGATGGTTGGTAGTGGTGCCAGAGCTGTGACAGCAGGTAGCCCCACTCAGGTACCACTAAAATGATTTTCGATGCTCCCTTTAGTGGCTTTGCTAATTGTAGATGTTAAAAAAAGAGAGCCAATACCCCAGGGTGGATCTCCACTGGCACAGTTTGCCCCCACCTCTTGGGGAGGGTGGAGTAAGTTGCCCAGAGAGGTGGTAGAAGCCTCATCTCTGGAAACATTCCAGGTCAGGTTGGATGGGGCTCTGAACAACCTGTTCTAGTTGTAGATGTCCCTGTTCCCTGCAGGGGATTGGACTAGAATCATAGAATCATTTAGGTTAGAAAAGACCTTTAAAATCAAGTCTAACCATTAACCCAACTCTACCAAGTCCATTGCTAACCCATGTCCCTCAGCACCACATTTCCACTTCTTTGAAACCCCTCCAAGCCATGGGGACTCCGCCATTGCCCTGGGCAGCCTGGGCCAGGCCTTGACAAACCTTGTGGGGAAGAAATTGTTCCTCAGCTCCAACCTAAACCTCCCCTGGTGCACTTTGAGGCCATTTCCTCTTCTCCTATCCCTTGTTACTGAGGAGAAGAGCCTGACCCCCACTTCTTTACAGCCTCCTTTCAGGGAGTGGTAGAGAGCCAGAAGGTCTCCCCTGAGCCCCCTTCAAACTAAGCCCCAGTTCTGTCAGCTGCTCCTCATCAGACTTGTGCTGCAGATGACCTCTGAAGGTCCCTTCCAACCCAAACCATTCCATGTTTCTATGAAGACTGGCTGTATATTGCAGTGGTGAAGGTCCTATCCAGGACTCATTAAAGAAAATAACTTTGGATGTCTTTATGAACTGCAGTCTTCCTGATCTGTCATACTGCTGAACTAAATAAAGCTGCTTTCTGCTGCTGCTGTGCTTTGCCTTTCAGTACTTCTGTACTTTGAGCTTCTTCTTAAAGTGCATTGAAAATGAGGCTTCTAGAAGATTCTTGTCACCTTATTTGGTGGTTAATTGCCATTCCTTTCCCGAAACCTTCTGCACTACGAGTTCTGTTTTTGAAGTAATTGAAAGTCTCTCTTTGTTTCATGTTCATAAATTGTTAGTCATGAAAGATGACAAGATCAACTTATGTTTCCTTGGAAAACTTAATTTTTCTTTAAAGTAGTCGTGGGAACAAGAGGCCTATTAAAGAACAAAGCCACCAAATATGAAATCTGTGTTTTCACTGTTCTTGTTAATAATGATCTGTGATCAAGACACGTGCACATGCCTTTCAAGAATATATTATTTTGTACTTTTTTTTTTTTTTTTTTTTTACTTCAGTAATAAGAGCAGAATGTCTCTTTGAGATGAAGTTTTGCAGATGTATTGCTGCCCAGGCAGTTTGTTGTGTTGAGTGCACAAGGAACAGAGTTTGTCAGGGAAGGAGGTGAAGCAGGGAAGCCAGTGGGTGGAAGCAGGTTGAAGCCATCAGTAGTTTTACCTACAAAGCACACCAAGCTGATAGTCATGGTTTGTTGAAGTTGTCTTACTAGGAAAAAAAATGCTGTGGGTCATTTTGCATCATGTGAGACTAATGACACAGGAGGAGTTTCTCCTGAAAAAGCAGCAAGTTGGCCTGGAATGGATGCATGTGACAATCTGGACTCAGCCCCCTCAGTTTAGATACACCCCTGAGATGCCCGAGGTGGTGAGGCACCTTCAGTGGCACAACCTTCTGCTGCTGTTTACAGGAATTTTTGAGGGATAATGCTTTAAGGGATTTTAAAACAAGATAAGGCAAGTGAAAACGAGATGTGAACCTTGTTTTCCTGTTGTTTTTGGAACATGTGGTGCATAAGGGTATTTTTTTTCTGTTTTTGTTCTTTGAACTGACAAACCATAGGTGGTATCTCAATGTGTAGTGTAGTCAGGTATCCAAAAGAGCTAGCATGTGAAAAATATATTGATTTTCTTAAATGGTCATTGTTGCTTCATTTTTGCTGTCTGCAGGTTGAGGAGTAGCTGAACATCAGTCAACATTGCTAAAGTTAAATCTATTAGAATATGTAACCACGAACTTAGCCTAACAGCTGCTTGTTGTTTCTTACGGTGTCGCTTCATTTTCAGAGTGAAATGGCACAGCCATTAAAAATAATTGCCTTTTATTTTTGCAGCTTAAAAAAGTCTTCTGCAGAGCTGAAGAAAATACTTGCAAATGGCCAGGTAGGTGCAAAGAATTGAGTCTTGGCTACATGCTCCTCTCGTTACTGCCTAGCACTGTGGTGAGTGGCGTGCCACAAAGAGGTGGAGAGCTGCTTACTGCTCATTTACTTGTAATGTGTTCTTTTAATACAGAACTGGAGGGACCATGAAAACCTTCACGATATGAATGACTTCTGTGTCCTGATTCGCTTTGATTGGCACAGCAATTTGCTTCCCATTTCTCAAAATGTGCTAATCAGATTTAGCTCCAAATAGATTGAAGCGCCTCACACGTGTTGCGCCGCTGCCACAATTTCGGGGAAGAAAGTTAATCAATTTTGAATAACTAAGTCAACTGCTCAGTTAGGATGCCCTTCGTATTTTTTAGGGCAGTAGACACGTAAATATTTAACAAGTTCTTCCAAGGAACAGATCTCTGCTATTTGGAATCACCTTATGTTGTAGCTTCTTAAGAAAATAAAAGTACTATCTAAAATAAAAGCCCGTAGCTGTAGAGAGCTGTCTTGTTACTTTGTCTTCCTGCTCCAGGCATTCCAATCCTGGCACCCAGAAGTGAAAGGTTTAATGTAACAATTGATAGACAAGTCTTGGGCAAACAGAGCAATCATTTCTTACCCGTTTTGAGCTGGAAGTACGTGCAGGTTTGCAGCAGCATAATGACATTAAATATACACCATTAAATTAAACTCCCTTAAAAGAATCCCGGATTCTTCAGCAGCAACATAAATATGTTTTAAGGTTTGTCATAGCAAAAGCCCTTTGATAGCCTTGGAGGCAGGCACCTGTCCGTTGCGATCGAGCTTGCCTATTAGGCTCTATTGACTGAGACATCTGTGTCACTGCAAATAAAAGACTCTTATTGATTTTCTTAACTGCTGTTCACTTCCCCTCCACGTTTCGAAGGCTGAAATCTTAATTATCTCAGATGCGTATTCAGTGCCTTCACACAATGACCTCTCCAAGCCTCATTGGCATTTCATGAATCAAGTAGTTGTAGTTGAGCGTGTCAAGAAGATAAAGGCTGGTCTTCATGCTTGTCCTTCAGTATCACCTGTAACGTTGGGGTCTAATAGATGAGAGTGCCCCTCGAAAATGGGAGGCAGACAGCCCCGGATTGCAGCCTTGCCTGTTTGGCACTGAATCCTTTGAATACAGCTTGGAAATGTATTTTTTAAGCTTGTCAAGATTCCTTACATGCAGACTTAGTTTAATATTCACCAATTCTTGCAAGGTAGATTGGCTCAAGTTACCCCTCAACAATGTATTTTTCTGGATAGCTTAAAACGATGCAAGTACCAGCAGCATGCTTCTGAAGTTTTAAAATGAAGTTGATAATTACTCCAGCATTACTGTGTTTTTTTTTTTTTTTTAAAAAGAATTACTTAACATGAGTCAAAGCCATCTTCTTTTGATTGAGTCCCTGAGCTGCATTTGGCAATTTATTTGTTCTAGGTAATAGAAATAAGCATTTTGTATGCCCTGCAATTGCCACAGATTTCTTTCCTGCATTTTAGAATAGCAGGAAGATATAGAGGAACCAGAATTCTTTCTATGATACTAAAAAAAGTTACTTGAACCCTTTAAAAAAGAAAAAAAGGACAATTAAAATTAAGTTTTAACACCACCTTATTCACCTTGCTCTGACAGGAGTTACGCTGCTTTCTGCTGAGAGAAAATGCTCCTTGTTGTGCTGCATTCTGTTCTGCAGAATTTGGTCACAGATCTGTAGCTGGAAATAGGTTTCTGGCTGTAACTTCAACTTTTCCCCTGCTTGGGGAGATTAAGTCACACTTACCATTACTTAAATATGGGTTTGAGTTATTTTTTTGTCATTTTTGGGCAGTTTATGCTTTCGGGCATTCATAATGATATTCCTCTAGTAGTTTCCATTTAGGTTTAATAAGGAATTCATATTAATCATTAAAAGAAGGGGACGTGATTCTTCAAGATAATCAAATATTGACAGGTTAGAAATAGCTTTCTGCCTAGGTTCATTGATATAGGTGATGCGATATAAATATTTATTTCTTTTCTGTCACTCAGAGTAAATGCCACCAATTGATTCAGCATTGATATAGTGTCAACAGTTCATAAGAAACATTTGACTGGCTTGTGTTTTCCGATTAGTCTCTGCTCTATAAAGTGGGATTTACTAAATCTCTTCAATTGTCTGCTCATAGAGTGTGACTGCTTTCTGAAACCATTATTGCTTCGATTCGTAAAGCAAAGGTAGGGCTGCAGAACTTCGCCTCTGCCAGGCCCCTACGTACATAAAATAAGGATTAATTGAGCATTTTGGTTTTAATGATTTACAAGAGATAGGCACTGATTTCTCCCCAAAGCAGCAGGTAGAAGGGAGGGATGTTTTGTTTGCTGATCCGTAATTGAAGTCCGGGCGTGTTTTCATTAATTCTGGTTCTATCGGCATCCGATCAAACCTGGGTCTGCAGGTTTAATATTCCAGTCCTTCCCGTCCAGTTCATTGTTATTATGTTATCATTTTATGATTGAGAATCCCGTTTTCCCAGTAAAATAAATAAATCACCGCATGTTTTTGGCATTTTTATTTGAGCCAGTAAATCACCCTTTATCTCTATCGGCCGCTAGCAGATCCTTGCTCCACCCCAGCCTTCCTGTTTCACCCTGGGTTGCTCTTTGTGCATAGAGACAAGAAATGGTGAGAGGTGCAGCATCAGTGGATGGAGCTGATCCTGTCACTGACTTTTGGGGACCAGCGTGAAGAAAATGCTTCTTACCAGTTAGCAAGAAGCAGGGGCAAAGGGAATACGTTTTATGTCTCTGATTCTGCTCAATTTGTTGCTTGTGACTTGTGTAACTGCAAGAAATTCTTCTTTCCTCCCCCCAAGAAGCAAAGATAGGAGCGTGCTCCTGGCTTTGTGGACTCACTTGATTTCTCTTAAGAGTTCTGTTTACATGAACGTTGCTGTGAATGTAGGAGAGAGACGTTTGTTGTTACCTCAAAGACTGGAGAATTAAAGTCCTCCAGCTCAGAAGAGCAGAACTCCTTAAACACAGTGTGTTCTTTAATTTCTCTCTGACTGCAGTACTCATTAATTTATGTTTAGATCAAGAATATATTCTTTACATATTTTAAAACCCATTCATGAAATATTGTTCCTTGTGAAGTGTCTTTTCCCCCCCTCTGTATTTGCATTTTCTGATTGATGCAATAAGCAAGATAACTAATAAAACAAATTTTCATTTTCATCATAAACCTTGATACTTGAGTGGGCCACTTTATACCCTCTTAAAAGATCTGGCCTAGGATTCACTGCAAATAGATAATCATGTGAAGTCGACTTATGCTTTGAGGTTATTTCACATTTTCTCAGAACTCAGAGATTTTGACCTCACTGAAAAACTGCATAAAGGGAAAAGTATTTCCTATGAGAAACAAGCATCCTTTTTATTCAGGTAGAGAAAGGAAAGAACACAATTTTTGGAGTTTATAACTTCTATCCATAGCACATGTTATTTTAAATCAATGAAATATTCCATTTTCTGTTTGTTAGACATGCAGAGTATTTATTCTTCAGGGCATTTCAGCTTGTTACCATCACTTACTTGTTCCAGTTGAAACCAGGGGCAAAGTTCCTCTGATGTTCACTGACATCATATGAAAAGGGACAATTAAATGTGGCTGATGGGCACACGTCCCCACTGAATTTTAGGAGCCATTTCAGAAGTTGGCTAAATATGGGTAGCTAGCTTAAAGGGAGCTCTGTGTGGCTTCCACCATGGTGCTGGTGATACTTGAAATCACTAATTTGAAGCTATCTCAGATGTGCTTGTGTGATTTCTAATCACATCAGTGATAGCAGACCAGATGTAGCATGAGGGTTTTTTTCTTTTTGATGGCTTTTAACCCACAAGAATGACATTCTTTAAGCAGCCATTCCAACTCATGTCCCATTAAATATAAATACTTGATAGAAACAGGTTATTGGTTTGGTAGCAAATCCCACTTTTAAGAGATATTTTGTGAGGAATTCGCCTAGCCTTGTGTTACTTACAATGATCAGGCAATAGAGGAGATCTTTTTGGAATAGCAAATGCCCAGAATTTACTCTCATTAAAATACTTAATTTCAAGTATGTATGTGCATTCCAAAAACATCTGTAGTGATTGTTTTCCTTATTAAAAAGTGTTTCAGCTGCACGATAACTGTTTTTGTACAGGAGAAGGTTGGGCTGTAGTTTTAAATTTGAATTGCTCATCCAGCAAGCTTGAGGTGTAATAAGCTTTTATCAAATCCATATTAGAAAGATCCCAAATGCCAGCATTTGCAGGATATGGTGCTTGTATCAGGCTTCTGCTCAAAGACCTGAGGATATTGTTCTAGTTCAGAGTTGTCCCAGTGAGCAGAAAGATTGAGACAAGCAATTAGTTGTGTATTTCAAGAAAAAAAGTATTTTTATTGTATAGCAATGCACAACTGTTTTTTTCAGAATACTTGCTTTAGTCAAAAGGTACATAAATTAAACACTAGGAAGGAATCCTACTGACAGAACTGTCACTCAATTAGTATCAATTATGCTGATTCTAGAATAAATCAGAAACTTTTCTAGACATACTTCAGGTGACAGTTTTCTGTTGGATTGTTTCCATTCACCTCCAACTTTGGCTTTGGTTATGTGCTGTTCTGGAGACCCTTTTCCTATCAGTATCTGTGACCTGACCCTCTTGAGCTATATTATATCATTCCATTTTGACACCTTTTATCAAACTTTAATGAAATGACCCAGGCAAACAAATTGTCATTAAACTTTCCATCACTTTGTCCCTTGGTATCGTCTTTTATAAATTGGACAGCAAATGTTGTATTGATCTTCTCGTTCTTGCAGCTGAACTTGAAATGACCCAGACTGCTTGTTGTTTATGGCCTAGAGTTGCTTTTCCTTGACATTTCCATCCACAGCATGACATCTCTTTTGTTTTTCTTTCTTTCTTGTGGAGATGAATGAACAAGACATACGGTATCGAGACATCCTCGGTCATGGCAATGGAGGCACGGTCTACAAGTGAGTGTTGAATTTCACTGAAAATTTTGGAAAAGAAAATTTAATCCTATGCTCGTTTGTTTTTTTTTTTTTTTTTTGCCCTTCCAATTTGTGTGGAGATGTTGACAAGCCATTGCTGCTACACAGAAAAGGTTAGAAAAGAAATTCTTAACAGAAACTTTTCCGGAATTCTCTTTACATATTTACAAGGTGTCTGCTCTTGGGTGCTGTGAGGGCTGGTGCATTTTTATTGTCTTTTTAAGACTTGGCTTTGAATCCCTCCTGGGTAACAAGTTAACGGTTCACAAGTGGAACTTGTAAGAGCCTGGAGCATAATGAATTGCCTTTGGTATTTGCAGTGCCATTATTCTTGCTGGTTTACCACGCCCTTCCCTGGTCCAGGACTGGGATGTGATGACACCGTTGCTCTGCCCTTCTCTAGCAATTCAAAATTAGTCAATACCCCTTCCACTGTTGCAGTGACTTCCCTCCCTTACGAGCAGCTTCACACACAGGCTGATGAATATATTAAATGATAAACTCCCCCAAATTTTGGTAGTGAAGCTTATACCCTGCAGCCAGTATTAATTTTAATATTGTAAAGATTATAATAGCAGAGATATAGTTTTCTCTACAGGAAAGTCTTTCTCATGCATAGTGCAAAGTTTAAACTACATAATGTAATATCTGGTACTTAATAGTCTGCAGTGGGGTATGAAAAATATTCCACTAGGAATTAAGAAATCCATACTTTGTAAGAAAGCCCTGAGGGAGTAATAAAGGTTTCCTCCAGAGAGCTATTTACCATATACAGTAACCCAGCATCCCATTATGATTTTGTTTATACCTTAGACATTTTAACTTTGATATTAGATTTTTTTAAAAAAATGTTTTAAAAGCTGTGGTGCATTTAGCTTAGTTTCTAATTGGCTGCCAACACTGTAAAACCACTCTCCTTGCAGAAGGTTTAATGAAAATGGAATTCCAAAAGCTTTAAAGAAAAAATCCACTCTTTGAATGGACTCTTCAGAAATGAGATCAGCCTTGTAGATGGAATATAGTTCAGAAATCTCATTGAAAGATACTCTTAGACCAAGAAACTTGCAGAAATAGTGTTGTTTTCTTCATAATAAGAAAGATTTGAGAGAGAATGTTGAACTTCACAGCTTTGCACGACCCGTGTGTGTTGTTGTTACCCAGTTCTGGGTCATTTTCTTTAGAGAAGCAGCTGAAATAAGGAGCTAGCAATGCAAAATCACGAGCAGCATGAGACCAGCCATACAAGGTCATACCAAAAGTCTCTCACCTCCATCCAGTGTCTAATAGTGGCCAAAGGATGAGGAATGTAACCCAAGGCAAGTGTGAACACATTGCCTTGTCTGATGTTTTTTGCACTGAGGATCTGCTGAACTCAATGTCTGCTTCTCAGCTTGGGGCTGACCTGCTCTCAGGTACCAGCCCTATTCCACCTCATCTGTGTGTGCAGTGGTACTGTGCTTTTAAGTGCAGAGGGTGGGGTAAAAATATCTCATTTTTCTATGACATTGCCACATGCATAGGATGTATTTCATGTTTTGTAGAATTCAAACAGGAAATTGGGATAAAAGGCTGTGTAAAGCCCAACTTGCACTTTTAGACTTCTTTTTGCATTTCCAAAAGGTAGTGTATTCTGTTTAGTATTTTTACAGAAGTATTTTTTCTCTTGTGGAGAATACTACTTGAGTAAGAGTCTGCAGGAGTGACAAAGGAACAGGGGTGTGAACCCTTGGGGCACAGGGGTGGTGGCTCAGGAGGGATGCAGAGTACTCGTGGCACCTCTTCAGTGTTGACTTGCTTTGTTGTGTGGGTTGATGTTGTGAGCTGCTTTGAGTGTTGCCTGTGATCTGGGAAAGTAAAAAATTCAACCTGTCAAACCATGAGCCCTCTTCTGTATCAAGGAAGTATTTCTGCCTTTCTTTTGCCTTTTGATTGCATTCATATTTAAAATTTGCAGTGGCTTCAGTGTGTTCTCCTGTGTAAAGTGTCATCCTGTGCCGCTCCAGGGAGCGTGCACTGGTGCTACCTGTGGATCTTTTACATGTTCCTGAAGTTTTGACTTGCTTTGCAGTGAGAATAACAGCAGGATATAAATACAAACCATGATTTTCTCCCCAGGCTGCCTTCTAAGCCATTCTTCTGAGATCTTCCCAAACTGGCTAGAACACCTCTCCTACCAGGCTGAGAGAGTTGGGCTTGTTCAGCCTGGAGAGGAGAAGGCTCCATGGAGACCTTCTGGTGGCCTTCCAGTATCTGAAGGGGGCCTACAAGAAACCTGGGGAGAGACTTTTTACAAGGGCTTGCAGTCATAGGACGAGGGGTAATGGCTTCAAACTGGAAGAGGGGAGATTTTTATTAGAAATTAGGAAGAAGTTCTTCACTAGGAGGGTAGTGAGACATTGTCACAGGTTGCCCAGGGGATCTGTGGATACTCCATCTCTGGAGGTGTTCCAGACCACGTTGGATGGGGCCTTGTGCAACCTGCTCTAGTGGGAGGTGTCCCTGCCCATAGGCTGGATGGGATTTCAAGAAGTCTGGTCCAGTGGGAGTTGCCCCTGCCTATGGCAGGGGGGTTAGAACCAGGTAATCTTTAAATTCCCTTCCAACCCAACCCATTCTATGATTGTTTGTTTCTTGGGTTGAGGAGTTGCAGCAGTTCACTCCTTCATCCCTCGAGAGCTGTTGTTGCAGGGAGTTGGCAGTTGATGTGTTGATGTGCCTTGGACCCAGCACAGACGGAAGGTCCAGCCTTGGAACCCCTTGGTGAAGGGGATCCTATTCTCCCTCACCACAGCAGCATCTGTGCTACACAGGCCAACAAGAGATAGCAAAATGGAATACTTACAGGTAGCTGGATTGCACTAGGCACAGATAGCAGCCCACATACATTTTATTCCAGTAAATCAATGAACATTTGTCAAATAAAATTAATTGCAAACGTTTGGCTGTTTTCCTCTTCCAGCATTCCACGCTGTCGGGTTGTTTGAGAAGAGGCTGTGTGTAGTATTGATCTGAATCTAAAGAACGAGCCTGGCATCGTGGTATCTTTTCTTTTTTTTTAATTTTTTTTTTTTTCCCTAGCTCTTTATCCTAAGTCATCTCCATTATGGCAATGATATATTATCAGCATTCAGCAGACAAGATAGCGTGTCGCAGGTCGCTGAGCAAAAATTTTCAGCCTCTCTTTCCCCATGAATTAACTACTATTGAAATAGTTTATTGAGATTGAAGTATTGATCACTTCTCATGCTAACCTTGGCTTAAGGGGGAGAGGGGAGGTGGTTTTTCTGCTCTTTGGGAGACACTATGTTTAGTTAGAAAATGTATTTCATTTATTTGGGTTCTTTACAGCTGCAACTGTTTTATTGCTTGGAGAAGAGGTATCTTAGTTTTATTTTTATGACAGTATAATTATACTTTAGAAATACACTTGATTACTGTGTGTAGCAAAATTGTTCCAGTATATTGGCTTGGCCAATATTGCTATACAAACAACTTTTCAGTCAATTGAGTCTGGTAAAAAATCAATACTTTATAGCAATATTTCTACTGAGAACTTGCTGAATCTAAATGTTTTTCCTGTTCTAAAAAGAAAGGATTTTATAGTTGTTGGACTTCCTATTTTTCCTGTATGTTTTGATACATTATCTTAACTAAGGAATACACAATTACACAGAAATGGCAAAACCAGTTAATTATTCTTGCTTTCCAGTTCCTTGAATTTTCAAAAATCTGTGACAACATACAAAATAATCCCAAGGTATATATCCAAAAAGTATCTTTGAATACACAGAGAGCAAGAGTTCTTCCACTGGTGCCCAGCATGCAGCATGAACCCTGTCTTGAGTGGAGATTGTCAAGGAAGGGATGAAATCTGCTGTAGCAAGAACTGAAAGCAGAGCAGTGTCTGTCCCTGCTGTTTGCCTGTTGTTGGTAATTTGCTTTGTTCACTGGGATTTTGGCTTTCTGTGAATTATCTTAAGTCCCATTTTATGAATTTTTGGAAACTCTCAACTGCCACTACTTCATGGACGTTTGACCTGACAAGAGGGCCCTGAGGCTGCTCTGCTGGTAGATGCACGACCTTCCAGCTCAGCAACAGGCTTTCTAATTTTTTATTGACCATTTTATAGCAACTGGTAGGATGAAGGATGCCCAGTCTGGACTGATTCACAGCAGAAGAAAACATCTGTATATCAGTACATTTGTGGTATTTACTTAAATTGCTTTTTTGGACAAAATCATTCACTGGTAGGTCCAAGAAACATTTCAAGTATGTGTGTGTGTGCTGCATATCTGCTCCATCACTGACTGCAGAACTGGTAGGATGAAGGATGCCCAGTCTGGACTGATTCACAGCAGAAGAAAACATCTGTATATCAGTACATTTGTGGTATTTACTTAAATTGCTTTTTTGGACAAAATCATTCACTGGTATGTGCTGCATATCTGCTCCATCAGTGACTGCAGAGCAGAGCTCTGAGGGACTCTCTTGATTAGGCCACTCCTTTTTAATTCAGTTAGTTTTATGGGTTGTAATGGGATGTATGTACTCTGCCAAGCAGCCTCAGAAGTAGCTGCATTAAATTATTCAGACTTAAATCGCAGAATCCCAGCACGGGAAGTTGGAAGGGACCTCTGGAGATCTTCTTGTCCAAACTGCTCCAGCAGCTCACCCACAGCAGCTTGCCTAGGATCACATCCAGGTGGGTTTGGGATCTCTCCAGAGCAGGAGACTCCACAGCCTCTCTGGGCAGCTGCTCCAGGCTCGGGCACCCTCTCACCAAAGAAGTTTCTCCTCCTGTTGCAATGGAACCTCATGGATTCCAGTTTTTGTGCTGATTGCCCCTTGTCCTGTCAGTGGGCACCACTGACCAGAGTCTGGCCCCAGCCTCTTGCCCCCTGGGGCCCTTTAGCTCTTGCTCAGCACTGATCAGATCCCCTCTGAGGCTTCTCTTCTGCAGCTGCACAGCCCCAGGGCTCTC